ACAGTTCCAGTTACACAGCTCCACAGTTTCCACCGACACACAGCTCCAACAACACCCCACAACACACCAACTCCACACACACAAACTCCCACCACACACAGCTCCACACACACTGTTCCACACACCAGTTCCACTCACCCACACAGCTCCACACAACACCAGTTCCACTCACACACAGCTCCGACAACAACTGATTCCACCACACAGTTCCACACAGAGCTCCGACACACACTGTTCCACAACAGTTCACACACACAGCTCCACCACACACGTTCAACACAGTCCCACACACAGCTGTCCACCACACACTGTTCCACACAACGTCCACACACAGCTCACACACCACTGTTCCACAACACAGTTCCACACAACAGCTCCACACACCGAGTTCCCACACGAGTTCTACACACACAGCTCCCCACCTTACACACCAGTTCCACCACACAGTTCCGCACACACAGCTCCCACACACGGTGTTCCCTACACACGAGTTCCTACATCACACAGCTCCACACACACAGTTCCACAACCTCTCACAGTTCCACACACAGCCGTCCATACTCACACCACTGTTCCACACCACTTAGTTCTTACGAACAATCTCCACAAGCAGTTCCACACACAGTTCTACACACAACTCCACAAGCAGTTCCACACAGTTCCTCACAGTCCCGCACAATCTGCACAGCGGATCATTCTCTCCTCCCTCCCCACGCTGCTCCATGCCACTCCACGCCATTCTCTCACAGTTCCACACGGTTATCACAGCTTCTCACAGTTCACTCCACTCTACATGCAATTCCCCACACAGGTTCTCAGTCTCACACAGTCCCACGCAGTGTCTCATGCCGTTTCCCACACGCTTCCTCTCCCGTTCTCACACAGTTCCTCACGCAGTTCCCCATACGGCCCTCAGTTCCTCACCTGGCTCCCACTCGGGTCCCCCACACCATTCTCCACAGTTCCCCACTCAGTTCCCACACCTTCTCACAGTTCTTCATACAGCCTCACATGTGTTCTTAGTCTCTTGGAACTCCTCACACAGGCCCACACAGCTCTTCACAATTCACACAGTTCTCTGTCCCCAGGGAGCCACTGCCAAGTTCCCAGTGCGTTTCCCAGTGAGCACGTCGCGACTCCTCACAGTGGCGCCCGCTAACCCTGTCTCACACATTCCCACGCTGGCTCACTCCGTTCCTGCCCGGTCCCTCGAACGGTTTCACGGCTGCCCACGCGGTTCCTCACACAGTCCCCAGCCTCGCCCCAGACAGCTTCACACATGGCACCCTCCGTGGCACCGCCCACTCCACACATGCTCGTCTCCCCGCCCTGGCCCCGTCACACCTATGGCTGCTCAGAGTCTAGCACGCCTGTCACCCTCTTCCTCTCATGGCTCCCCAGCCCCCTCTATGCCCGAGGGGCTCCTCCGCGCCCCTCTCAGCTCATCCCAGGGCCCCCACGCCCCCCAGGCCACCCTTTCCCACCTCAGTGTCTCCCAGCAGTCTCCGTCCCAGGCCCTGCCATGAGGCCACCCCAGACGCCCTGTGTCCACGCAGACAAGGCACCTCATGGGGCCTCCCACACTTGTTTTCTTCCTTCCCGGGATCCACCCCCATGTCGCCCATCTCCCAGCGCACTCACTGCCCACCCCGCCCCTCACCACAGGGCGCCAATGCAGTGCAGACGCCACCACCAGCCTCCAGCCCCCGCCCCAGGGCTGAAGGAAGCCACTTACCTTGTTGGGTCCAGAGTCCTGAAAAGGAAGAGACAGAGAGAGGCTGAGGCCTGGAGCGAGGCTGGCGCAGGCTGTGGGGGTGGAAGAGCAGGTGGCCCAGCTCCCTTGCCCTGGCCGTGACTCAGGCTCTACCGCCCCGTGGTCTCCTTGACAGCAGCTCCCCCGGGGCAGGATCCCCCCAGGGCTGCCCTTCCCTAGCCCAGGCCATTGGTGGTGCTGGGGGACAGGGCTGCCTGCTGCACGGGGCCAACCGTGGCTACAGCCCCAATTTACAGGCGGGGAAACTGAGGGTCCCGGGAGAAACCAGGGCCACTACCCCTTCTCCAGCATGTGACACTCTGGCCATCTCTGGGCTCTCCCTTGAACCCAGCCACCTCCCAGACACATGGCCTGGAAATGGGTGACAGTGGCAGGATAGGGGCCCCGAAGACCCCCGGGGGTCTGGCTGCAGAAGTTGGGCTGGGCCACTCACCATTTCAGCCAGGGCGGAGATGACCTTGCCCAGGGTGGTCAGCGACTTGTTGATGTTGGCGCCCTCCTGTGGGCAGAAAAGACAGTGGGGTTGGGACACCGGGGACCCCTGGGGACTCCTGCTCTGGAGGGACGCCTTGCGTGGACCTGTACGGTGTGGAGTGGAGGCCACCACCGCAGCTGCTGCTCTCTGGGGCCACAGAGACATGGGGTGCCCTGGCAGAAAGCCAGCTGGAGCCTCTGGCCGGGAGCACGTCTCCCAGTGTTGCCCTCAGTGCCATGAAAACCCTGATACCATCCCATGTCCCCCTGAAACGCTTCCGGGGCCCCTGCCCAAACATCAGGTGCTGAGGTCAGCGGGGATCGAGGAAACACACTCCTTCCTGACCCTGGCACTGCTTTCCCAGGGGTGCCCCGGCCTCTGGCACAAAATCCTCGGGGCCCGAAAGAGGCCACCGTCCCGCCAAGCCCCTGACCTGTGTGCCCAGCGCTGGTGCCCCAGACACAACCCTCAGTTGCTGGCAGCTCAAGACCCCAGCCTATGCCCACCCTCCCTGAGCGGGCTCATCCTCAGGGTGGCCCAGGCCCCCGGGACCCCAACAGAGCCCTCCTGCCACCCACCCTGGAGCAGGCCAGGTGTGGACATGGGACCCACTGCAGTCCCTGCATGGCGGCATGGTCCCTACCTTGAGGCGTGTGCCCTTGGCTCCCGTGGAGTCAGCCCGCTCGCTCCCAGCCAGGTCCACCAGGCTGATTTTGCTCACCTGAAACAGCAGACGCGTCACATGCACAAGAGGCCGCAAGATGCACGGGGGCATCCCAGGACCCCTGGGCAAGATCTCCATGGCTGCTGAAGGAGCCCCAGCCAAGCGTCCCCTCCACAAGGCGCCACCCCTCCCCAGGCCCAGCAGTCCTGTCCCCGCGGTTTCCACCTGCACCTCCGTCCCAGCTCTCCCCACGCCCTGCCCGAATGAGTGCACAGCCACCTCCCCAGGGGAGCATGGGCACTGCCACCACACGCCAGGCACTTTTCACACAAGAGCACACTCTCTCCCCACGGCACCCATGAGGTGCGACTGTCACTGTCCTCACTTCCACAGATGGTGCTCAGTGTCCGTGGTGGGATTGGAACCCAGCTCCAGGAGGCCCTGGCCCTGCTCAGCCACCTCACGGGCCATGGCTGCACCTAGCGAAGTGGGCACCAGCCAGGCTCCCGACAGGGGCACCTGCAGCCTGGGGTGGGAGGCCCTGCACCGAGAGGCCCGGCCCCTCCTGAGCCACAGCTGCAGGGCAGGACTTGCCCACAGACACCGCAGGACCCCCTTAGTGCCCACCAGCGAGGGCAGCAGGGCAGGCAGTTGGGCCGACCTCATCCAGCTTCACCCCCGTCTGTCCCCCAACCCACCTCAGCCATCCTGAGACCCCGCTCACTGTTTGATGGAGTCCCGGTCAGGAGGATGTGCCTGGCAGACCTCCAGCACCATCTGGGACTGAGCAGTCCTCCCTTCACTCAGCACCTTTGTGCTCCCCATGCGGCTGCCTGAACGAGCCCCCAACCGGGAGATGGCTGAGGTGCCCCCGGGCCTGGATGGCTGGGGCGCGAGGGCAGGGGGCAGAGTCAGAGATGGTCAGGGAGAGGCTGGGTGCCCTTCCACTGCCCCTCCTAGAAGCCTGGACTGGCTGTCCAGGCAAAAGCCCCAGAAGACGGACCCCTGGCCTGGTCCGTGGAGAACACCAAGGCACGGGAGAAGGGCCTCTGGGGCAGGGCGGGGGACGTCCGCACCTGGTGCCAGTGTAAGTGTGAGGACACTGCCCGCCCCGCACAGGCCAGCATTGGGCCCAATGTCCTTGTGCTGCCCCCACTGGCCTGACCTCCACCCCCACCCCGACCACCAGCCACTGCCCTCGGTGGCACCGCCTGTGAGGCCATTCACTCACCTTCTCCGTGGTGATGTTGGTCTCTGCATCATGGCGCTTCTGGGTGAAAATGATGTTGAAGACAGCGTGGGAGCGGCTGCTGGTCTCATTCATGTTGGTGGCCGCCACGGTCCTGAGGAGCAGAAAGCCATACACGGTTACCCCTCGTCCTGTGGCCGGGTGCAAGTTCACCGGTGGTGCCAGCCCTCCAAACCGGGTCATCGGGGGGCAGCTCCCCCAGACCCCAGGAGCCACTCTGCCGGTCCTGGCACTGATGGTCCCACCTGCCAGGACTCCAGCAAGGCCCACGGCCACCTACCCACAGTGGCATCCTCAGCCCCAGCCCTTGCCTAGTGTATTCAGGGCAGCAGTAGCTGGGGAAGCATCCCACTCCTGGGCACAGAGAAGCCCATGCAGTGCCCAGCTAGGCAGGAGCCCTCCATGGCCATGATATGGGAGGGGAAGGGGCTGTCCACTGTCCACCCCACCATGGCCCACACCCATGGCTCTGGGAAGCCAAGGAGCCTGCCACACCCCACAGGAGATGTCATGGGTCAGCAGGGCGGTCCTCCAGAACGGGAAGCGCAAGGCTGCTGAGGGTGGCCTGGAGTTGGTCCCGATGCCACCCTGACCTGCCAGGGACCTCAGGAAAGGCTCCCAAGACTCAGCGGATGGCATGCGGCAACCCAGGGCCCGCTCCAGCAAGGAGTCACAGTGATGGCCACGGTGCGCTGTGGACCTCATCAGGAACAGCACCCCCACCCACCGGCCCTTGTGGGGCCACCGAAGGGGTGCAGGATAGCGCAGAGTGTGACTCACAACCTCAGGAACTGAGAGTGACAGGGACCATCACCTCACCCTCAGGAAGTCCTGGGTGGCGGAGGGGGTCTGTTGCCATGACAACCAGGGCATCCCAGGCAGGAGGCCCAGGGCAGCAGAGGCCAAGGAGCCGGGTTGTTTATTGCTGTAGCACTGTGCAGCCAACCACCCGCCACATGCCCCGACCCCAGCACGCTGGCCCCCACACAGAATCTGGACCCCTGGGACTGGCAGAACAGCTGCCCCACCAAGGCAGCAGCCACAGATGCTGCTAGCAGCCCCTGGGCGCCTCAGCTGGAGGACGCAGACCCCCGTGAAGGAGAAGCCCCATGAAGGTGACGGTGTTCCCTGCACAGGGGGAGCCCTCGGCCTCCCTCGGGCTGGCACAGGCCTGAACGACCTCAGGCTCAGGAGGCCACACCTCCACAGGGCACAGATGGACCCTACAGAAAAGGGCCAGGACCGAGGCAAAGGGGCTTCCTCTGGGGAGAGGCGGCGGGACAGGAGGGCAGGGAGGATCGGCGAGTCCCCCCACATACCTGGCCTTGTTCCCTGAGTCCATGAGGTCCTGGATGTCATTGTAGGAGGTGACAGCCAGCTTGGAGAGGTCCTCAACATAGGGCCCCAGCAGTGGGTGCTCCCTCACGCGAAGGTTGCCCTTGTTCTTGGGGTTCAGGAGGTCACGGACACGTTCACAGTAAATCTCCATGTAGCTGACCTGCAGGGCAGAGCCGGGCCATCAGGACCCCTGAGACCAGGGAGTGCGGCTGCCACTGGGGGGACCCCTGAGTGAGGGGGTGGGGGCTACCATCAGGACCCCTGAGTGACGGGGCAGGGGCTGCCACTGGGGGGACCCCTGAGTGAGAAGGTGGGGGCTGCCTGCTGGGCCCCTGAGTGACGGGGGTGGGGGCTGCCGTCAGGACCCCTGAGTGAGAAGGTGGGGGCCACCATCAGGACCCCTAAGTGACGGGGTAGGGGCCAGCATCAGGACCCCTGAGTGAGGGAGTAGGGGCCAGCATCAGGACCCCTGAGTGAGGGGGTGGGGGCCGCCATCAGGACCCGTGAGTGAGAAGGTGGGCGCCACCTGCTGGGCAGCGGACTCCCAGTCTGCAGCTCCTGTGTGTATGTGTGAGGCAGGAGTGTCAATCCGGCCTCCCTTACCATGGCCATCCTGGGCTCTAGGACACACGCATGCCAGGGCCACCCCGCCACAGCAGGCATGGCCAGGCGTTGAGCTCTGAGGTGCCTGTCCCTGCCCCAGCACAGAGCAGCTGCTGGAGAAGCACCTGCTAGGTGGGGATCACCTCGTCGCTCTGTGCTTTGGGGGTCTCGAGCCCTGCCCAGGCCCGTCGTCTTGCCTGCCACTTGAATGAGTGAGGGACAAGCTGGGTGCGCAGACCCGTGGTGGGCACTCACTTTGCATCAGAAAAGCACTGCCAGCCACACCGGATTCCCAGCCCTGCCCCAGGGGCCGACAGCAGGCGGGGGGACCCTACCTCCACCGAGTAGGACATGTTGTCGTTGGTCGTATCATTGATCCGAGAGAAGAGGTCCTCGCAGAGCTGCAGGAATGGGGGGACAGTCAGCCAGGGACGGCTGGGGCTGCTCCCTGGATCCCCGCCCCTTGAGATGCTGTGGGCAGCCTGTGCCAGGCGGGATGCCACCCTCTCAGGCCCCTCTTGCACCCTCACCACACACATCATGGTAAAGGCACTGAGAAAGTCTGTAGCCGAGGAGCCAGTGTCTCCCTCTTAACTCAGGGGTCCCTGGCTGGTATCTGATCCTTTCCTGTGTGTCGTCTACCCCTCCCCCTGGCTCTGCCATCCTACAGACATCTCAGCCACGTCCCTTCCCTCAGCAGGCAAAGTACTAGTGACCAACTCAGGTCCAGAGACCTGCCCAGGGGAATGGCTGGGGACTTGGTTCCTGCAGCAAATGAGGAACTGCTGTGTCTGGTGTTTGGTCACCTCTGTCCTGAGCACCTCTCTCTGCCCACACTGCCAGCCCTCACACCCTCAGAGATCAGCTGCCCCAGCCAGGGCTCTCCCAGCTGCTGTCTTAGGCACATGATCAAGGTGGACCCTGTCCAAGGCCAGGGCGCTTCCCGCACCTAGGGCCTGGGTCTGCAGCTTCACAGCCACATCTGGCTCTCACCTGCCCCAATCCCAGCTGGCCTTCCCCTCCTGACTCCCTGCTCTCTGGGGGCTGCTCTCAGGGGCGCCTGGCCTGGAGTTCTCAGCCTCAGCTTGTCCCGCCCCATCCACCGGGGCTGCCCCCGCCTGCCCCCGGCCTCGTGCCTGTGGGATGATGCCCTGCTGGTCTTTCTCCTGCTTGCCCATCATGGTGTAGGACTTGCCGGCACCCGTCTGCCCGTAGGCGAAGATGCACACGTTGTACCCCTCAAAGGCGTGCTGAAGCATCTCCTCGCCAATGTCCCGGTACACCTGCTTCTGCGATGCATAGTTGATGTCCTCGGGCTGGAGGACAAGGAAGGAATGAAGCTGCAGGAGGCTGGGTGCACCCGAGGCTCAGCCCTTCATGTCCGTGGAGCCAGGGGGTGCCCAGGGCCTCAGGGTGCCAGGGCAGCACAGCGGGGAGGGATGCCTAACCCCCATCCTACTCCTGCTTTGTGGGGTAGCTTCTTGGAGGAGGAGCCTTCTGTGTCCCAGATGAGGGATGAAGAGCGGCCGGCCAGGCAGGAGGCAGGATGGGTTCCAGCAGAGGGAACAGCATGTGAAAGGCCCAAAGGTGGGACCTCAAAATCAAAGTAAGTTCCATGTGACTGTGACAAGCAGCGGTGACAAGAGCTGGGAATGGGGACAGGGTGCGAAGACCCAGAGACCCCACAGGCTGGGCTACGGCACCTGCACACTGTCCTGAGGGCAGAGGGGCACTTTAGGCAGGGGACAGGGTGGTTGGCTGGGGGTCATCCTGGAAGGAGGACGGACTGGATGGGGAAGGCAGAAGCAGGGAACCCTGGGGCTGTTATGGAGGGCAGGTGCTGAGATATAGACATGAGGGGCTTAGATGAGGAGGCTGCACGTCTTCTAGAAGGGTCCACGAGCTGGCAGGTGGAGGACGGCGCTCAGTGTGGACTGGATGGGGGAGGAGGGAAGGAGAAGAGTCCAGGGGTCTCCTGGGCTCCCAGAGTGCAGGCACAGCTTCCAGGCAGGCTCAGGGTCAGCTTTGGGCATTCCGACTTCGGGACATCCGGGGAAAAGTCACCAGCAGGCGGACGGACACAGTTCTGACCCTAGAAACTACCCACAGGGAGCTGAAGCCCCTCAGTCCCTGCAGCCTCCATCACTGCCTTCGCTGGGGACCCTGCATGGGCCGCTCAGGGTGACCTTGCAGGGGAGCACGGTGGGGTCCTCGCCCCAGTTAGAGAGGAATGAGCGGCTCAGAGAGGTTGAGGGACCCTGAGGGCCACATGGCCTGCACACTGCTGCCCGCCTCCCCCACCCAGGGTCCCGGCTTACCGAGGTGTGCGACCAGTAGGAGTAGTCAAAGCTGAAGCTTTTGGGCGTCTCCTTGGGCTGTTTGGGATTAACGATGGCTGCGGGAGGGAACACAGGGGGTCAGTGTGGTGCTGAGAGGGACCCTGACTAGCTGGCATCTACAGTCCAAGGTTGGGAGGTCGTCCTGAGAGGCCTTGGGCCCCAGACAAGCCAGGTCCCCAAATTGGAGGGGACCTAGGACCCCACTCCCAGGCAGACGACCTGTCTCTGCCCCCTCTTTATGGTGGGCCCTGCCACATACACATGCCCGAGGGCACCACCATATCACCCTGCAAGGCTCTGCGTCCTTCTCCCGCAAAGTCCAACTGGCTCCCCTCAAAGGCAGCCACCCAGGGAGGATCCTTCCCCCCTGCAAGCCGCAGCCCCTCCATCTCTGGAGTCCACCCTGGGCTCACAGCCCTGCCCTGCCCCCTGCCCAGGCCTTTCCGCTCGGGCTCAGCATGCACGTGCCTGAGAAGCGCTGGAAGCCTGGACGTCCATCACGTTTGTGTCATGCCCGTGTGGTTCTTCTAGGCTTGCTACTCTGAACAGAGCTCTATGGGACTGTCTTCTGCCAGAGGCCCTCCTCCCCCTCCCTCCTCTACCCAACTTCAAGCCCAGTCCCAGGCACCCTGGGCTGGCTTCAGGCAGAGCTCGCAGAATGTCTGTTCATCAAACCCAGAACCAATCCATGAACACGTGGTGATGTCGCTGCCCACAGCCAGCGCCTGGGGGGATTTCCCAGGAGCAGTCCCAGCGTGAGTGTCCCAGGAGCTCCTCCCACCCACACAGCCTGCAGGTGTCTCAGGGATGCAGCACGCCCACCGCCACCTTCCATCCTTGCTCCCAGCGTTTCCCTGGCCCTGGACAGGTCTGGACCCTGCAGGCTGTGGGTCCTCAGTGGCCAGAAGGACAGGACCCGCTGCCCCCTGGAACACTGTCTGAGCCCAGAATCAGTGTTGACAGGGGCCTGGAGGCCTGAGGCAGTCCCCTCCCAGGTTCTCACCCCCAGGAGGAACACTGGCCAGTCTTGGTCAGGGAGCCCCTGGAGACCATCACCATCACATCAGCAAACCCGAAGCATGAAGCCCTAATGGCACCATCCCGTGCTTGCCGATGAAGGCTGGAGATGAGGCTCTGTCTGCCCCGGATTGGTTTTTCTCAGCCAACGTGGGCTGGGGGCCAGCGGCACAGCCTCCAGGATGCCCGCACCCTCCGTGCCAGCATGCACCCTGGGGACCTGCCACCAGGACCACGGAGAACAAAATACTCCAGTTATGAGCTAAACTGCGTCCCCCTCCCCCAATTTCATATTTTGAAGTCTTTAGCCCTAGTATCTCAGAATAGGATCACATTTGGAGATAAAGTTGCTGCAGATGTAATTAGTTAAGATGAGGTCCTACTCCATGAAGATGGGCCCTAATCTAGTGCTGCCATGTCCTTATAAAAGAGGAGATCTGGAGACAGATGTGCACAGGGAGGGTGCCATGAGAGCACAAGGACAGAGATCAGGGTGATGACAAGCTAGGAATGCCAGAAGCAGCCGGCAAGCCCCAGAAGCTGGAGGGCTTGGACAAGTGCCCCTCATGGCTCAGGAACAGCCACCCCTGCCACCACCTTGATCTCAGACCAGACTTCTGGCCTCCAGAATCACAAGATAGTACACTTCTGTTTGTGGTGCTTCCTTATGGCAGCTCGGGGCCCTGAGACCCCCTCTGCCTGTCCACACTCTGCTGCTGCCCCAGGCTTGGTGGTCTTGCGGGCAGGCACCTGGGCTGTGTTCTCTGGCCAAGCGTCCTGCTGACAGCACAGACATCATTGGCAGCCCTGTTCCCAGGGCAGATCCAACTTCAGGTCCCAACTGGACCCCCATCCCTGGCCTGAGGATTTCCAGGAAACACCCAGGCACCCTGGACAGACAGCAGGAGGGAGCCGGGCACTGACCATCACAGCCCTATCCTCGGAGGTGAGAGAGGCCACGTCCGTGCTGTGTCCAGGAGCAGAGGCAGAGAGGAGGCCGAGCTGCCCTGACTTCAACACCTTACAGGACCAAGGCAACCGCCAGGACCCAGGCAACGGCACCCGTGGTGCCACCTCCGGAACCCCAGCACGGATCAACCAGCCCTGTGGAAACAATTGCAGCACCTTCCTGAGCGCAGCCCGGCTGGGCCTCCCCAGCTCTGACAGAGAGGCCTGGGACCCCTTGCTCAAGCCAGCAACAACCATCCTGTCCACCTCATCCCCTCACCCTGCTGCACTTGGGCCTGGCTCCCCTCACAGGCCTGGCCCCCGTCCCCACACCCCTTCTTGCCCCATCTACACCCTCGCCTCACCCCACTGCACCCAGGTCGGGCTCCCCGCACAGGCCTGGCCCCCATCCCCACACCCCTTCCTGCCCCATCCACACCCTCGCCTCACCCCGTTGCACCCAGGTCGGGCTCCCTGCACAGGCCTGGCCCCCATCCCCACACCCCTTCCTGCCCCATCCACCCCCTCGCCTCACCCCCCTGCACCCAGGTCGGGCTCCCTGCACAGGCTGGGACCCCATCCCCACACCCCCACTAGCCCTTGCTCCTTGTCCAGCCCTGGAGGCCAACCTTGCTCAGATGAAGCCCTGGTGCCACAACCCACATGGGCCATGAGCTCTATGAGGTGGGGGTCCCCAGGACAGGGCACAGGTGGTACCCAAGGAATGCCAGGTAGGTGGGGGACAGAGGGCAGCATGGGTGAGTGGGCAGGAGTGGGGCTCAGTCACAGCTGTAAATGGCCTGGGCCCCAACCCCTCCCAGGTCTGTGTTGTGACCGGGACCCCCATCCCACCCTGGCCCTGTCTCCACCCCCATCCCAGGCCCTGTATTGTGGCTGGGACCCCCACCCTACCCTGTCCCTAACCCCACCCCCAGGCCATGTATTGTGTCCGGGACTCCCACCCCACTCTTGCCCTGACCCATCCCCTCCCACGCTGTGTTGTGGCTGGGACCCCCACCCCACCCTGGCCCTGCCCCTACCCCTACCCCCGCCAGGCCATGTATTGTGTCCAGGACCCCCACCCCATCCTGGCCCTGACCCATCCCCTCCCATGCCTGTGTTGTGGCTGGGACCCCACCCCACCTTGGCCCTGCCACCCTTCCCACACCCTGCGTTGTGGCTGGGACCCCACCCCACCCTGGCCCTGCCACCCTCCCCACACCCCGTGCTGTGACTAGGAACCATCCTCTGTCACTACAGATGGGCCCCAAGCTCCAGAAAGGGGAGGTCCTCTCCCCAGGTCACACGACACACAGCCAGACTGGAAGGTAGGGTCCCCGCAACACTTCCCAGCCCTGAGGTCCGCCAGGCCTGTGGAGACAGGCAGCCCCTCTTTCAGCAGCCTGCTTCTCACAGAGACCTCCCCAGTCCTGCTTCTCACAGAGACCTCCCCAGTCCTGCTTCTCACAGAGACCTCCCCAGTTCTGCTGGAGAAAGAGCTTTTTTTTTTTTTTTTTTTGCCAGGGTCTGGAATTTTTTCCTTGTGCAGGTTTGAGGAAGGAGGAGGGAGAAACAGGTCCTCCTGGGGCCTGCTGGGCTGGGCTCCTCAACCAGCCCCTTTAGGGCCCCCATCTCCTCCCGCCCCGGGCTCTGGCCAGGCCCCCAGAGCTGGGCCCCTCCGAGGCCGGCGAGGTGCCCAGTATCAGGCAGCCTTCCCAGGGCTCTGCAAAGGGCTGGACGCTGAGACAACAGAGACAGGGGGAGGGGTAGAGGGAGGAGTGGGGGGAGCTGGAGGAAGCGGGACAGGAAAGGAATGAAACACAGCCCTTTTCTCAGAGTCTCAGCGTCCCTGCGGCCTTGAGCACCAGGTGTGAGGGCTGAGCTGAACTGGCTCTCCCTGATGGAGCCTGCTGTGGGCCGAGCGTGTCCCCAGATTCATATGCAATGCCCTGACCCCCAACCAGATGGCATTTGGAGATGGGGCCTTGTTTGGTGATGAGGATGAGACGAAGCCACGAAGTCGGGGACCTCATGGTGGGATGAGTGACTTTAAAGAAGGGGAAGGGACCCGAGCTCCCTGGGCCAGGCAAGGACACAGCAGGAAGGCAGCGTCTACAGGCTGGGAAGACAGCCCTCTCACAATCCAGATCTGCGGCGCCTTGATTGGACTTCCGCCTCCAGACCGCTGAGAAGGGAGCATCTGCTGTTTAAGACGCCCACTCTGCAGCGTGCCTGGACCTCGGAGTCTGGCCTCCACAACAGGGGAGACATTTCTGTCGTTTGAAACCACTCAGTACGTAACCCTTTGTAACAGCAGCCCCAGGGACCATATGGGTGCCACTACTGCCCGTGTGGAGGGGCTTGTCCAGCTCCCCGAGTGCTCCGGATTAGGGGAGCCCACAGTGGAAGCCAGGGACCTGGGGTCACGCCCACCCTGGGTCCAAGTCCCCACCTGTGGGCGAGGGCAGGGATGAGAGGCCACCCCAACCCTGGGCCTCCTCTGCATGGCCAGAAGAGTATAGAAATGACTGGGGATCTCAGGGAGTACCCAGCACCATCCCTCACTACTGCACAGGCGGGGAAACGGAGGCCCAAAGGTATGCCATCTAGCCAGTGTCACACAGTGAGTCATGAATGCAGCCAGGCCCCTCACTCCAGGAACTCACTTCAGGGCCGCACAGGGCTGAGGGGCCGCGTCCCCAGCCAGCCTCCAGCATCTGCAGAATGGCTGGGCAGGCTCAGGGCCCTCATGTCCTCCGGTCCTCAGCGCAGAGAATGTGACGTGAGGAGACAGGAGGAGGACACGCTCAACTTCTGACCCCAGGCCAACCCACACCAGCTCGGCCAGGCCGGACCAAAGTGCACCTAACGGACAGCTAGGCCAGCTCACAAAACTGCTAGGTTTGGTGTGTTCAAATGAAGAGGATTATTTATACAGGTGATGATTACAGGATGACAGTTAAATTTACTTTCAAATGCTTCTAATTTCTGCATCACAGCGGAGCTACAAGGCACGCTTTAGAGAGTGGGGCCTCTCCTCATGTTCTGAGATTCCAGGAACAGTCAGCAGCTACACCAGGCAGGCAGGGCAGGCTGTCCAGGTCACCTCCCCATGACATTCTCTGAGGGGCCTGGCACAACCCCCACCATCTTCCAAGGGGCCTGGCACACCAGCCAGGACAGCCACTCCCGGTTCTATCGATCTGAGCAGCAGCTGAGAAGTCACCAGGGACAGTGCTCCTGTGAGTGCTTCTGACAGGTGGGTATCCACCCGCACCCTCTCATGCCCTGTCTGCAGGTGTCCTCCTGGGCTTGTTCTGGGGCAGGTCAACCCTCTGGAACACCCTGGTCCCTCAGCCACCAGGAGAAAAGCCCATGACCACCTTCTTCCGGCAGGCTTCCCTGCGCCAGGGCCAGGGGACATCCTTCTCTGCTGAGCTCCCTCAGCCCGTCACCCAGATTTCTGACATAGCTTCCAGCACTTTCTTCCAAAACCACCACTGGTTTGCTTTCTCCAAAATGAAAAAAGCTTTGCTAGAGATTTTTCCTGATTATTCATTCTTCTGCCACTCTTTTCCCTCACCCCACCTCGCTGTCTCCCACGCACACACACATCCAGTGCACACAGGACCTGCAGCGAGTGCCCATCTGCCCTTTACCTACATACAGTCTCACTCTTGGGCTCTGTGCTGACCTTTGCCCCCTTCCCCACAACATTGTGTGGTATTTTCCCAAGGCTGTAAGCACAAAGCTTTCAGGAGCACTCGAGTCCACTCCTGGGACAGACTTAACATCCCTCCAGCAGCTCCCAGCTGGCGGGCATTTGGGCAGTTGTCCCGGGCTTGGTAAAACAGCACCAGGGTGAACGTCTCAAATGCACACCTTTGAACACTTGCTGGATAATCTTCATTGCATTTCACGCAAGCAGCCTGGTGAGGTCAGCATCACACGTCTGATATACATCACCAGGCCGCGCCCCCCGCCAGTGGCTTGGGTGCCTGTCCCTGCCACACTCACAACCTGCCTTTTACAAGTGGGCCGACCTGGGGCCCTGGCTGTCCTGGTGCGTCGCTGGCCACAGTGGGCAGGACACTGATCTCATGTGTCGTCTTGGCTCTGTGGCTCTTCATTTTCCCGAGGATGAAGGTGGCGACGCCTGAAACATTCCAGGTGTCCTGGAGGAAACACCCTGGCGGGCTCTCCACCCCGTTCTGGGTCCACGGCCCGTCCCTCCTCCCTGGTTTCAGAACTTTGCAGCAACTCCGCAGACATTTGATTGAGTTTGGTGATCCCCGGAAGATCAGCACCTCGGAAGAGGTTGGTGTCTTGCCTGTGTTCACCTTTGAGAAGGGGCGTTTCCTTCAGGACCTAGCAGTTGCCCCAAAAAAAGTGTAGGGGCTCCTGCGTTCCCCTCCTGACCTCCCTGGCCTGCCTGGACTTCTGCTCGGAGCAGAGGCTGCTGGCACACAGGCGAAATCCCAGAACTCCAATGTCCTCAGGGCAGGACAGGATCCAAGCATCTGAAGCAGGGCGTCTCGCTTCAGGTTTCAACCTCGCTGGCCTTGCTGGCCAAAGGAAACATGGCTGCCCACAGATACAGCTCTGGCCTCTGGCTCCTAAGCCCTGGGGAAAAGCTTTGGTTCAGCCTTTGTTCTCCGGGCCAGAGGACAGGGTGGCATGAAGCAGGTAAAAACCACTGGGGCATGAGGTCTCAGGTCCAAGCCTGCACTGCTGTCTCTGAACCGGCAGCTCAGTGGGGTCTGGGCCAGCGACCCCTGAGCCAGCTTTCACTGAGGTGAAAGCCTCAGCCAGACAACCTTTCACCAGGTGGGCAGCGCTGCCAGTGTCGAGGTCTTGGCAATGCTGGCTCACCTCCAGGCTGCACCCTCCCATTTCTGGATCCCATGAGGGGAAATGCAAAATGGGGCGGCCGCCCACCCGGTGCACCTGGAGGCCGGGCCAGGGAGCAGGTCGGAGGCTGCAAAGGGGCCCCTCGCCCACCCTGGCCGTCACTTCTGTGACACCCATCCCAACCCGCCCAACTGCCTAACCCTGTCATTTAGGGTCTGGCCTGAGGCTGGGCCGTTCCCAAGGTTCAGGGGCCGGAGGATCCCATCTCTGACACTTTATTTTTCCATCCACTCTGCTTCCGGTGATCTTCAGCCGCTCGACGGGTCTGATTCTTGTCACTGTGCCAACCATGGAGTGCCCCATGACCCACACGCAAGACTGAGGTGGCAACTGTGCTGCTGTCACCCAGTGGAGGATGGAAGGGGATTCACAGGGCCCTCCCTGATGTCCTGGGTCACCTTACAATGATACAGCAGAGCCTGCTGGGGCGTGGCACAGGCACCCTCTGCCCACCCAGGGCCACAGTGCTCACCAGAGGTCATGGTTCCCACCTGGAGTCGAAGTTCACACCCAGAGCCATGGTTCACACCTGAGGTCACATTTCGCACCCAGAGTCACAGCTCTGCACAGCCCGAGGCTTCCCACTTAAAGACAAGGGTCCTGCCGCCTGAGCAATTTCTCCGATCACAAAAGGCCAGGGCTGCAGTCAGCTAATGCAGCGAGCATTGTTGGAGAAGCACTCACCTTCCTGGGCAGGACAACCCGGAGGTGCGTTGTGTTCGTTCGAGGGCCCCAGCAAGGCCAGGCCCCCGGCCACGGAGGTCACCCACTTACAAATGCACCTCTGTCAGCTCCCCCCAAACTCCCCACTCTCCCACCATGCGTCCTGGGACCACCTCCCAAATAAACTCTTGGCACTCAAATCCTCATCTCTGGGTTTGCTTCCAGGGACCAAGCAGACAAAACAATTCACCATAACGAACAGTCAGGATGCAACCCCGAAGTGCACTGGGGTCCCACAGCCACAGCAGCCCCCATAGCCTGGAGTTTAGCAGGGTCTCCCCAGCCTGCCCACTGCACCATGATTAGCCACAGAGCTCCACAGGCTTCTGGAAGGATCACCCCTAGGCCAGACAGAGGGTCCGAGCAGAGTCCTCACTTCCACAGGACCTGACAGAGCCCGGAACACTCCCAGTGACACCTGAATCTCCAGTCCCTGAGCAGGCCTCGGAGACCAAACCTAGGGAGGAAGCTTCCTTGGGACCTGAGTGTCCTCCCCTTGGGGCACCCCCCTCCCCACCTGGTAGATAATAGATGACGGCATGTTGGACGGGTGCACGGCACCTGTGAATGGGGAGGCTGCCATTGTCCACATCCCGAAGACCAGGTGGCTGTTCATGTCACCACTCAGCGCAGCTGACACTACTTGATCCTGTGACAGCAGCAGCAATTGCAACTGCAGCAGAGACCCCAGCACAAACTGCCCCGTGAGCCCAGCCAGCCACAGAACGGAGAGATGACACTTGGTTCTTGCTCCAAGATGCTGATATGGTTTGGATATGTGGGGAAACATATGGGTGTCCTTATAAGAAAGCCAAACCCAGTGACGGGTGTCCTTATAAAAAAAGCCACATGAAAGCAGAGACAGAGACACACAGAGGAGAAGGCCACGTGATGACGAAAGCAGAGACTAGAGCAACGCTGCTGCAAGCCAAGGTGGCTGGCAACCACCAGATCCCAGAGAAGGCAGGAACGGTCCTCCCTAGGAACTCAGAGAGAGTGAGGCTCTGCTGGCACCTTGACTTTGGATTTCCAGCCTTCACAGCTGTGAGCGTAAATCTCTACTCTTATAAACCCACTACCATTGGTGGCGGTTTGTCACAGCAGCCCCAGGACACCTACACATGACATAGACAAGGAAGTGGACACTGCTCTTGGGGCCAGGTTGACCACGGAGCCTGGCCCGTAGGCACAGGACCACGGCCCCCAGCAACCCGTGGTCGACCTCGATGCCGTGCAGGCCGATACTCACTGGTGGTGCTTCCAGACATCTGAATGATGCACTTGGAGTCGCGGCTCATTTCCCGGGAATTGAAGGGGCGGACCCGCACCGCCACCTTCACCGAAGCCCCGGCCATCGCTGTGGCCTTCGTGGGTCACTCTTTGCAGCAGTGGGAGTCCCAGTATGCAGGGAAACACCTTGGAAAAAAGGGAAACATGAATTAGAAACAATATCCGAAGAGGCAGGACAGGCACTCTGGCTGCAGCTGAAGCCGCAGGTCTTCTCCACTCCACTCCAAAGCCCCCACGTGACACATGCATGGGGTGGAATCCACAAGGAGAGGGGGCAACACAGATAATTCTAGAAAGCAGGAGCCCAGCGGGACCAGTGGAAGCCGGCTTCACGAGCCTGGGGAAGCTGGAACCCAACGAAAGAAACAGAGCGACCTGGGTGTGAACGTGAAGGTGGCCTTCACACCCATGGCAAATTCCCCAAGAAGGGTCTTCCCCTGCAGACACAGGCCCTAGTGGGCTCCATGACAGGTCCGCGCAGGCCCCAAGAGCCAGTGCTGGCTCCAGATCAGCATGTCAAGGATGCTTTAAAATGGAACAGTGTTCCAGAATGCCCCATCACGCCCTCCGCACCAAGCACCAGCTGATAGCCACGTCAGCAGTAGCATGGTCTCTGGATTAGCAAGAAAGAGAACTTTACTCAGAAATGAACAGGACAGACAGCCTCAAGCAATGGAACAAAACCCAACATTTTCAGCCCAATTTCCTGCTGGTAATTCACGCAGAAGGAGGCGAGGAACACTCCTGAGCCCCACTGAGGAGGAGCAGCCCGCGAGTCATGGCAAATTCAGTACAAGCCAGGGCTGGGGGACCAGCCTCGGCCTTGCCTTTACCCCGGCGGTGTGACTCAGCTTCCTGGGCCTCAGTTTACCGTCTGTGAAATGACAGGGTGTGGTCAGGAACTCCAAAATGATTTGGCCTCTCGGGCGCTGGGACTCTGAGGAAGGCTGAGGAAAACTCCCACAAAACAGTGACGAAGCAGCCACTGCAAAAGGTCTTTCCAGGCTGACCAGTCAGACGCTGCTGCTTCCCCCGTGGGGCTTGGGGCCTGAAGGATGTGGCTCCTGGGCACAGGGACAGGGACAGGCTCGGGACAGAGCTATTGGTTACAGGAACGGCCAGAGCTCCATGAAACAGAATTAATGCAACCTGACATGAGAGGTTTTCGCCAACTGGTATCTAAACGCTCGAGGGTGCCCGCTCAGTGGTCAGTCCCACATCACCAGAGGCATCCAAGTAGAGCAAAGGCTAGGTGGCCTCCTTGAAACCCTTCCACACTGACATTCCATGAAAAGGCGACCTTCTGCCTGGTCGTCCCCATCCATAAGTGCCACCCTTGGGAGAATCAGGCCAAAAGCCCCCGTCTTACACTGCCCCAGCCTCGTAGCTGTGAAGAAGGGACAAGCCCCTCTGGGCTGCCCCTGAAAGCGCCAGGATCAAGAGCAGGAGGGCTCTGTCTGCAGAAGGAAAGGGGGCACAGTGAGTCTGGGACCAAGGCAGATGCTGAACTCCTAGATTCCACCCAGGCCACTCCCCAGGATCCCCAGAACTCCTCTGCAGAACAGGCTGGATGTGGGGCAGGGCTGTCCCTCAGGCAAACAGCTCTTCCAGAGGCTACAGGGGAGGAGGAAGTGCCAGGGCACCCTATGACTAAGTGGGGACAAGTTCCTGATGTGGCTGGACTCATGCCGGCTACACCACAGCCCCTCAGAGCCACAAGGTGCAGCCACGTCTACACTCCAGAGTGCTTCTGCCAACTCTCTCTTCTCCTCACAGCCAGGAGTGGCCACCAGCGTGGACGGAGGGATGACCTCTGAGAATCTGTGTTTCCTTGTGTTGAAAATCCCTGCACTTTCAAAACTGGAAAAAGTCTTAGGACATTCCAGCCGGGATGGAGAGAGGAACAGGCAAACTCACAAGTCCCTGGCTGGAGCACAAATCCCGCAAGGTTTCTAGGCAGCCATTCTGCAGCACGGCCTGGACCTTTAGGAAGGTCTGTATCATTTGACTCAGTAATCCCAAGTACTGAAATCGGAAATACTTCGAGATTAAGAAAATATTCATGAAAAGCAGATATTCAACAGTGCAAAATTTCCAGTTCTCCCCAAATTTAGCTATATAAATTCAGTGCAATTCCAATAAGCAAAATATTCCAACAGGACATTCAACGGAATTTGGCAGGACAAGAACATTTTGAAAAATGAGAACAAAGAGGGGAAACATCCCCTACCAGCTATCATATATCCTCTAGAGCTACAATAATTTCCAAAGTCTAAAAATGACACGTGAACAGACTAAGCGTGTCCACAAGCAGACACACACACATACACACAGATTAAAGAAAAACGCAGCAATTTAGGGAATGACGTAAGATCAGTATGGGACAACTGGCTCTCTCCATGTTGGAAAAATAAAGCTAGATATAGAACTGGATCTTTAAAATGTAAATGCATTACAAGGACACAGAGAAGCCTCTGTTCTTGGCTCTGGGGTGCGGAATATGCACACCACAAAGCATGGAAGGCGAAGGCGGCTTGGTGGGTGCAGTGGCCAGCAGCCGACCAATGCACTGCTCAAGAGGTCCGATACCACACTGCAATGTGTGTGAAGGAATCAGTGTGCAGCCGCAAGCCAACATTCCAGAGGAGGGGCTGCCAAGACGGGAGCTGGCCTCCGCAGCACAGCCTCCGAGCGTATTTGCATTCTGCGCGTGGGTCAAGAGACCGGGAATCTGGAGTCTTCCCAGACAGAGAGCCGTTGCTGAGGGACGGAGGAAGCTGCAGAGCTTTTGGGTAAGAGAAAGAAACTTGAGAGGCCAAGATTGCAGAAGAGAGAGGTAAAGAACGAAAATGAACAAATGCCCCAAACGCCTAGTCCTTCCCTTAAGACATTTGCCAAATTCTGAAGGTAAGAGAGGTGGGATTTTAAAAACCCAAGCTGAAAACCAAAGAGGAGTCTTGCACAGTCTCAGATGCTAAGGAACAAAGATTTGAGTTCAGGGTCCTCCAGGAGGAGGATCCCCAGTGATCACACCAGGCTCTGGCTGAAAGCCCAGGGAGGCACAAAACCTAAGAGCAGGGCAGAGCCATAGCTCAGATGAGCCTTATGAAAACTACAACCTGCCCTCACTTGGCTTAATTCGGATTTCAGTCTGGCTGCCTGGGAGAGAAAATGGAAGCCATCTGGAGTCTCTACACTCTTTTATTTTTATTTTTTCAAACTCTGTACTCTATATTCTTTTAATAGGCAATGTGTGACATCCAATCAAAACTTAGAAGGTGTAAAATAAAAAAGGACTCTGATTAAAAACAAAGAGGAAAAATAAAATAGAAACACATGAGAGAAAAAAAAAGAGACACATACCTACACATGATCCAGATCTAGGCATTATTAAACAAGGACTTTAGAACAACCCTGACTAATATATTCAAAATAAGAGCAAAAGGACAGAGAATATAAATGGAAAATGGATAATTTTGCCAGAAGACTGGAAACTATAACAAATAATCAAATGGAAATGCTAGATCTGGAAAACAAAATAACTAAAATTAGGAACTCAAGAGATTAGACACAGTTGAAGACAGTGCTAGTAAACTGGAGGGTAGGTAATAGAAATATAGAAAATTTAAAACAGATAAGAAGAATGGAAAATGTAGACATGAGAGCCAGAAAAGTATAGGACACACTGAAATGGTCAAACATACCTGTAACTGGAATCTAGAAGGAGAAGAAATGGAATGGGGGAGCTATGGTCTGAATGTTTGTGTCCCCTGTCCCATCCAAATTCCTGTGTTGAAATCCTAACCCCTAAAGTGATGGCATTAGGAAGTGGGGCCTTTAGAAGGTGATTAGGTCATGAGTGTGGAGCCTCACAAATGGGATCAGTGCCCTTGCGAAAGAAATGCCAGAGACACCCCTCAGCCCCTCCACCACATGAGAACAGGGCAAGAAGGCGTCTAGGAGCCAGAAAGCAGATCCTCAGCCAATGTGCCTTTCTCTTGAGCTTCCCAGCCTCCAGAACCATGAAAAATAAATTCTGTTATTCATAAGCCACCTGGAAGCAATATTTACAAAACTAATGACCACGGATTGTCCAAAGCTGCTGAAGCACATCGACCCACAGGTTCAAGAAACTCTACAAACACAAAGCAAGACAAACAAGAAAGCCACACAAGGCACAGCACTGCAACAACGTTAGGACCAAAGATAAAGAGATAAAGCTTAAAGTCAGCCAGGAAAAAAAAAAAAAGGCCGGGCGTGGTGGCTCACGCTTAGAATCCCAGCACTTTGGGAGGCCAAGGCGGGCGAATCACAAGGTCAGGAGATTGAGACCACAGTGAAACCCCATCTCTACTAAAAATACAAAAATTAGCTGGGCACGGTGGCAGGTGCCTATAATCCCAGCTACTTGGGAGGCTGAAGCAGGAGAATTGCTTGAACCTGGGAAGCAGAGGTTGCACTGAGCTGAGATCGCACCACTGCACTCCAGCCTGGGTGACAGAGCGAGACTCCATCTCAAAAAAAAAAAAAAAAAAAAAAAGAAATTGACAACTGAATTCTCAACAGAAATGATAGAAACCAAAAGACAAGGTTGCAAGGTTTCAACATGACCATGAAAGAGGTCATAGTAATCATTTACATTCGATTGTCAAGCATACATGTTGTCATTGCTAGGTTAATCATTTAGAAAGTAGAAAACTAATGTATAACTAACAAGTTAATAGAAAAATACCCAAAAATTAAAATTTATTTTATGAATCCAATAGAAGGCAATGAAGGAGAAAAACAATATGAAAAGATAACATCAAGTGAAAAAGAAAGAGTTAAGATTGCAGATAAAAGGTCAACTCAGTATGAACTAAATACACCAAGTAAAACATTAAAAATTGTCAGACCAGATTTTTTAAAAATTAAATTCTGTTAATGAGAGACTATACATACAAAGGCACAGAGAAGTTCAAATTAAAAGGATGAAAATTTGTGCTTGCTCTATCAGCCACTGAGGAGGAGAAAATATATATCGTACACATTATTTTGTTTATTTATTTTGAGACCAAGTCTCCTGTCTCCGAGACTAGAGTTCAGTGGCGTGATCTTAGCTCACCGCAGCCTTGACATCCTAGGCG